TCCGCCCCCTGGTCCCCTGTGTTTTCCCCCACACTGGTGTCAAACAAGCCTATCAAAGTGAGTGCCTAGGGGCATCTCGTGGGGCCCCCTACCTGACCCCCATAGGCCCTCAGGCATGCCCGAGTGGTCAGTCCTGCCCTTGGACCCACCATTGGTAGTTATTATTAGTACAGGTACTTATATATCTTGGCTGTCAGTTTACATTATATATATTTGTCACATTGACAACAGTGCCCCATTCCCTCCCCGCCATGGGAGAACCCGCCACCCCCCCGCCCCCACCCCCGAGAGACGTACAATCTAAGGTCCCTAACCTCATCGTTGTCATACATACACAAACTAGTGACAATTTGGTAAGATCAAGAGACAATTCACCTCCAAGCATGTCTTGGAGTGGGAGGAAACCAACACAGGGCACAGGGAGAACATGGAAACTTCCAGCAAGTGGTGTTGTGGTGGGAATTTGAACTGATGACACCTAGTACTGCCGCCAGGTGGAAGTGCAAACCATTTAGACCACTGTGCTGAAAGCAAGAGAAGTTGCCAAACATTGGTGTCCGTGGGTAGGAATAGTGCCCCATCATTGGTATCAGTGGGAGGAATAGTGCCGTGCCCATCATCGTGTATCAGTGGAGGAATAGTGCCCCATCATTGGTGTCAGTGGGAGGAATAGTGCCCCACAATGGTGGTCAAGTGGGAGGAATAGTGCCACCATCATGGTGTCAGTGGGAGAATAGTGCCCATTGGTGTCAGATCGAGGAATAGGCCCCATCCAGTGGGTCCGTGAGGCAATAAGGCCCCATCATTGGTGTCAGTGGGCGAATAGTGTCTCCATCATTGGTGTCAGTGGGAGGAATAGTGCCCCATCAATCATTGTGAGGAATAGGCCCCATCATTGGTGTCATGAAATAGTGCCCCATCATTGGTGTCAGTGGAAAATAGAATAGGTCCCGGGGGAGCATTGGTATTGGAGGAATAGTGCCCCAGGGGGGGGGGTGGGGGTGGTATCAGAGGGGAGGTAATGTGGGGTCCATCATTGTATTAGTATGGGAGGAATGAGTGCCCCCTCATTGGTCAGGGGGAGGAATAGGCCCCATCATTTGGTGTCAGTGGGAGGGAATAGTGCCCCCATCATTGGTATTTCCAGTGAGGAATAGTGCCCCATCATGGTTTGAGTGGGAGGAATGGTGCCCATCATTGGTGTCAGTGGAAGGAATAGACTGCCCCATGGTCATTGTGTCAGTGGGAGGAATAGTGCCCAGTCCATTGGTGATCAGTGGGAAGGAATAGTGCCCTATTCCTGGTATCATTGGGAGGAAAAGTGCCCACATTGTGTCAGTGAGAAATAGTGCCCCATCATTGGTGTCAGTGGGAGGAATAGTGCCCCATCATTGGTGTCAGTTGGAGAAATAGTGCCCTATTCCCTGGGTAGTGGGAGAATAGTGCCCCATCATTGTGGTCATGGGAGGAATAGTGCCCATCATTGGTGTCAGTGGGAGAATAGGTGCCCGATCATTGGTGTCAGTGGGAGGAATAGTAGTGCCCATATTCCTGGTTAATCTCCCCCATCATTGGTGTCCAGTGGGAGGAAGTAAGGAATAGCCTCCATCATGGTGTCAGTGGGAGGAAAAGTGCTCCATCATTGGTAGTGGGAGTCATAGTGCCGCCATCCATTGGTTCAAAAGTGGGAGGAATAGTGCCCCATCATTGGTGTCAGTGGGAGGAAATATAGTGCCCCATCATTGGTGTCAGTGGGAGGAATATGTGCCCCATCATGTTGTCAGTGGGAGGAATAGTGCCCCATCATTGGTGCTCAGTGGAAGGAAATAGTGCCCCATCATTGGTGTCAGTGGAAGGAATACTAACCCATCCTCATGATTGGTTCAGTGGGAGGAATAGTGCCCCATCATGTGGTGTCAGTGGGAGGAATAGTTGCTCCAATCATTGGTGTCAGTGGGAGGAATAGTGCCCCCATCATTGGTGTCCAAGTGGGAGGAATAGTGCCCCCATCATTGGTATCAGTGGGGAGGAATAGTGCCCCTATTCGCGTGGTGTCAGTGGGAGGAATAGTACCCCCTTGTGGTGTCAGTGGGAGGAATAGTACCCAATTGGATGGTGCCAGTGGGAGGAATAGAGCACCATTGTGGTGTGTCAGTGGGGAGAATAGTGCCCCATCATTGGTGTTCAGTGGAGGATAGTTGTCCCATCATTGTTCAATGGGAGGAATAGTGCCCAGGGGGGGGGGGGGGGGGGGGGGGGGGCATTGGTGTCAGTGGGAGGTGTCCCATCATTGGTGTCATGGGAGGAATAGTCCCATATTAGGTGTCAGTGGGAGGAATGCTATGCCCCATCATTGGTGTCAGTGGGAGGAATAGTGCCCCATCATTGGTGTCAGTGGGAAGGAATAGTGCCCCATCATTGGTGTCAGTGAGGAGGAATAGTGCCCCATCATTGTGTCAGTTGGAGAGAATAGTGTCCCCATCATTGGAGTCAGTGGGAGAAATAGTACCCCATTCAGTGGGAGAAATAGTGCCCATCATTGTTGTCAGTGGGGAGGAATAGTACCCCATTGTTGGTGTCAGTGGAGGAATAGTGCCCCATCATTGGTGTCAGTTTGGAGGAATAGTACCCCCCCATCAATTGTTGTATCAGTGGTAGGAATAGTACCCCATCATTGGTGTACAGTGGGAGGAATAGTGCCCCATCATTGGTGTCAGTGGAGATGAATAGTGTCCCATCATTGGTGTCAGTGGGAGGAATAGTGCCACCATCATTGGTGTCCAGTGGGAGGAAAAGTGCCCGCATTTCATTGGTGTCATGGGAGGAATAGTGCCCCATCATTGGGTGTCATGTGGAGGGATAGTACCGCCATTGTTTGGTGCCTAAGTGGGAGAAAGTTCCCAATATGTGTGGGAGGACTATGCCCCATTATTGGTGTCATTGTGGAGGAATATGCCCCATTGGTAACATTGGTGTCCAGTGACAGTGGAGGAATAGTGCCCCATCCTGGTGTCAGTGGGAGGAATAGTGCCCCATGGGAGGAAATAAGTTTGGTGTCAGTGAGAGGAATAGTAACCCCATTGTGGTCCCTGTGGAGGAACATTGTACCCCATTATTGGTGTCAGTGGAGGAATAATGTGGTCCCCATCCATTGTGTCGTTTTGGAGGAAAAGTGCCCCATCATTGGTGTCATGGGAGGAAAAGTGCCCCATCATTGGTATCAGTGGGAGGACTAAGTTGGGCCTCCATCATTGTAGCAGTGGAGAATAGTGCCCCATCAATGGTGTCAGTGGGAGGATAGTGCCCCAACATTGGTGTTCAGAGGGAGGAAAAGCGCCCCATCATTGGTGACAGTGGGAGGAATAGTGCTCCTATCATCCTGGTGTCAGTTGGGAGGAATAGTGCCCTATTCCGGTGTGCAGTGGGAGGAATAGTCCCCCATTGTTGGTGTCAGTGGGAGGAATAGTGGCCCCTATCATTTGGTGTCAGTGGGAGGTAATAGTGCCCCCATATTGGTGTCAGTGGGGAGGAATAGTGCCCCATCATTGGTATCATGGGAAGGTATAGTGGATCCCATCATTGTGTGTCATGTGGAGGAATAGTGCCCTATTCCTGGTGTCAGTGAGCAGGAAAAGTGCCCCACTCAATCCCTGGTGTCAAGTGGGAGGAATAGTACACCCATTGTTGGGTGTCCGTAGTGAGAGGAATAGTGTCCCCATTGGTTGGTGTCAGTGGGAGGAATAGTACCCCATTATTTGTGTCAGTGGGAGGAATAGTGCCTCCATCATTGGTATCAGTGGGAGGAATACTGCCACCATCATTGTGTGTCATGAGGCAAATATTGCCCCATGCATTGGTGTAGCAGTGGAGGAATATGCCCCATCATTGGTATCAGTGGAGGAATAGTGCTCCATCATTTGGTTTGGGTCAGTGGGAGGAATAGTGCCCCATCATTGGTGTCAGTGGGAGGAATAGTGCCCCATCAATTGGTGTCAGTGGGAGGAATAGTGCCCCAAGATCGTGATGTCAGTGGGAGGAATAAGTGCCCTATTCCTGGTGTCAGTGGGAGGAATAGTTCCCCATTTGGTGTCAGTGGTGAGAATAGTACCCATTGTTGGTGTCATGGAGGAATAGTACCCCATTATTGGTGTCCCAGTGGGAGGAATAGTTACCGCCAAGTGCCAAATATTAACAAGGATCACATCTGGCCACATGCTAGCAGTTTTGAAAACCCTGAGCTAAATGCGTCAGTAGGTCAGAGGTCACCCTGAAAGTCTGACTGTTGCTGCCCCTGTCACCTGCCCTGGCCATCACACATACCTGACTACCAGAAAAAGCATTTAAAGCAACCGGATCCTCAGCGCAGCCAGGGATGTAGCATTTTTCAGATGGCGGTCAGCAATCAGCAGTTTTCCACTCTTGCTCAGTACAAGGCGAAGTCACTGAATCTCCAGGATGATTCCCGCACACTGAAAGGCCGTGTCCAAGTTATTTTCTATCTCTAGAGAAGCCAGAACGGCTTTAATAATGAAAGTTTTAATCCCGCAGGAATAAATCCCGGAGTTGTGTGTTTCTGACCGTTGTCACACGGAATTTACATCTCCTTTAAATATGTCCATGACAACCCTATGACAACCATGACACCCATAACAGAGCCAGAGATTGTGCCTGCGGCCTCCGTCCCCTTGTTCACTATGTATATATGGAGGATTACTGGTGTCTGGGCATATAACATTCGATGGGCTCTGTGTGTATTTGGTGTGTTCCTCTGAGTTGCTCCTGTAATAACGACGATGATGGATTTTCGCGGACAGGCGGTGAGGCGGGTCGTCAATACAAAAAACACCAGCAGACTAAAGTCAACAGGCACACACATTTGATCAAATCCACACAACCCATACTTACAATCTCGTAAAAGCTTTAAAAGCGTGTCAATAGTCAATTTCAGAAGTCCTTTTCAATATTTGTAAGTGCACCAAACTTGGTATTGCTATTTAGACCACTGGTCTCCAAACTCACCAACTGCGGCCCGGGGCCACAGGCAGCCCTTTTGATTGCCCTTGAGGCACTATTTCACCCACTGATACCAACAATCGGGGAATAATTTCTCCCCATAGACACCAATTGAAGGGGCACAATTTCTTCCAATGACGCGAACGGATGGGGCATATCATTCACGGGCTGAACAGAAAAAAAAAGATGTCAAAGAGATTCTGGTACTAAATAGAAAAGCATCGTGCCCCATTGTTGGTGTCAGTGGGAAGAATCGTGCCCCATTGTTGGTGTCAGTGGGAGGAATAGTGGCCGATCCATTGGTGTCGATGGAAGGAATAGTGCCCCCACTCATTGGTTTCAGTGGGAGGAATAGTGTCCCCAATCATTGGTGTCAGTGGAGGAATAGTGCCCCATCATTGGTATCAGTGGGAGGAATAGTGCCCCATCATTGGTATCGGTGGGAGGAATAGTGCCCCATCATTGGTGTCAGTGGGAGGAATAGTGTCCCATCATTGGTATCAGTGGGAGGAATAGTGCCCATCATTGGTAGTCAGTGGGAGGAATAGTGCCCCAATCATTGGTATCAGTGGGAGGAATAGTGCCCCATCATTGGTTTGTCAGTGGGAGGAATAGTGCCCCATCATTGGTGTTCAGTGGGAGAATAGTGCCCAATCATTGGTGTCAGTGGGAGGAATAGTGCCCCATCATTGGTATCAGTGGGAGGAATAGTGCCCCATCATTGGTATCATGGGAGGATATAGTGCCCCATCATTGGCATTAGTGGGAGGAATAGTGCCTCATCATTGGTATTAGTGGGAGGAATAGTACCCCATCATTGAAATAATTGTGCCACATTGTTGGTGTCAGTGGGAGGAATAATTATCCTATTCCTGGTGTTAATCAGGGAATAATTCTCCCCATAGACACCAATGAAAGGGCACAATTTTCTTCCAATGACGCGATCAATGGGCATATCATTCACGGGCTCAGCAAAAAAAAGAATCAAACCAATTCTTGGTACTAATAGAAAGAATCGTGCCCCATTGTTGGTGTCAGTGGGAGAATAGTGCCCATTGTTGGTGTGTCAAGTGGAGGAATAGTACCCCATCATCGGTTGTCAGTGGACAATCGGGTGCATATTTACTCCCAACTGAACATCGGGACCAGGGGCAGACAGACAACTCCAAGGGCCCCCCCAGCCAATAAGAGGTCATGGGGTCCCTGTGTTGCCCACACTCAAACCACACCCAAAAAAAGCTATGAAAGAGTACCAGGGCATCTAAATTGGGCCCCCTACTGACCCCCGGCCCTCGCAGGGCCCGAATGGTCAGCCCCCCTGGATCAGACCTTTTTCCACTCCCATGGCCACAGTCCGCCCCCTCCTTAACTCAGATAACAGTAATTTGGTCCCCTGGAGACCCCTGCTCTAGAAGGTCTAACCGGCC